GATGCATTTATAATTATTATTATTGCAATCATAAGTTAATGATATTATGAAAGAAAAACGACTCAAGCAATATTTTTCGTCAGAAATGTATATAAATTTATACAAAATAGTTACAAAAATTAAAATAATAGTTTGGTGTCACTGTGATAATTTGCGTAATACAAATCACGATTTATTGGTAGTAAGCTCGCTAATATCACGTACATGATAAGAATATGAGGATGACACGACGATAAATTGAGGTTCGTATCGTTCCGGACGTGATTAGGAAATTTAAACCGAGATATTTCTTTCCGCAACTTTGAACAGCATCAATACATCACGAGATAACACAAAAATTTATTACATGGAAGATGGCAGATAATTTAGTTACTAATTAATTTAGTTACTAATTAATTTAGTTACTAATCGTGTTAAATGTTGATTCCTTGTTTTGATACATATATAATAATAATTCACGGAACATACATAGTAATAATACGTGGAACTCTAAATTGAATGCTTTCACTCTTATTTAATATTTATTTACTAAATGATTGCCAAATGATGATTTTTTAAATGAAAACATGCGTGATAAATTCCATTGGATTAAAATAATTTTCAAATAACAGAACAGAGATTTAAAATAATTTTGATTTTTATATTTTTATTTTACACATAACAAAATATTTTATTGTCTGGAACTTACTAAAAACAATACAAACTATGATTTAAATGAAATACAAATAAGGAGAAATAATAAGAGTAAAATAAAATAAAACAAACAATAGAAAAATATTAAAATAGATTTTAAATATTGAAATAGATTTAAATCATTACTTTGTTTAATATTAGAATTGAATTATATAATTATTAGATTATATAATTTTAATATTATATAAAGATATGTTTCTAAAAATATATTTAACAAAGAAACCCAAGGAAGTGTTCTCTTTCGATATTAATGAGTCTTTAATGTGTTATATTCTAGATCAAAATATGGGACACGTATTTTTTTATATTCATGTGAATTTTTAGAGGGTCAAAACATCTTTTTGAACAAAAAATCGATAAAAGATAAAAAAAATGTTTTGAAAAAAGTTGAATAATTGCAAGAGTTTATAATAATAGTTACAAATAAATATGTTACAAATAATTTAAATAATATTAAATTTCTATTAATCAATGCATATAGTGTTACTGCTAATATATATTGCATAGATATCAATGCAGTGAAGTAATAATATTAAAATATGAAGAGTACACTGATAAAAGAGGTGTTTAATTTTAAAACATTAAAGTGTTTTATTTCTCCATTTCTGAAACATTTAAAGACATCTTAAACGGATGTGCCATGATGTTTAAATTTAATTTTAACATTTAATTTTAAAACATTTATTATTATTAAACGTTTGTATTGAATAAAACGTTTTAAATTTAGATGTTTTCTTCATGTCACTTTTTACGATGTAAAATGTTTAATATTTACCATATTTTATATTTATCATTTCGCGCGTGCACTTTGATCATTCATATCTTATTTTTCTGCTATTTTTCAAAGTTGCGTATCAAAGTTGCGACATTATGACCTTATCAAATTGACCTTATTCAAATATTCAAGTATTTTTCTTGTTGTACGTGATGAATAGTATAGAATAGAAATGTGTTTGTTTTAAGAAAGTGAATAAGGCGCGTCATATAAAAAATCAGACTGATATGGATAAGCGTTTATAATTATTTTTTGAAAATGATATGTCAGAAAATAATTTTATCGTATATGATTGAATTTGTATTAAAATAACTTTGAATTAAGAAAATGTAAAATTTTCAAAAAATATGAAGTGATTTATTTAAAAAATTTTTTTTATTTTTTATGATTACTATTATAAGTACGCTTGCAATCATTCAACTTTTATTCAAAACTTTTTTCTGTCGCTTACTTATTAGTTTCGAAGATATTTCCTTCGAAAAAAAATTACTATGATTTTTTTTCAAAAGGAATGTTTTACCCTCTAAAAATATGAGCACGTATAAAAAACTATATGTCCCTTATTTTGGGCCACACAAAATACAACATATCAAAAGATCATCAGAATCAGAGGGGACACTTTCTTAGGTTTCCTTGTATTGCTTTACTTCTCTAGAAAGTAATATTTTTAATAAATTTAAAGACTAGCATAAATTATATCAAACATCATGTTTTTTAATTTCATGCAATCTTAATACTAGATCTACATAAGCATTTTGTAGTAAAGGTATATTTGCGCGATTATTTAAACGTCAGCTATTTAT